TATTGCAATTAATCATATTATCATGTATTTAAATAATTCCTTTTTTATATTTTGAAATGTTATTCCGTCCATCGCACAGAGGAAAATACTATCAAATTTTAGGGTAGAAATTACGGCCACCCCCTGATATATGGTCAAATTACAAAAAAGTCCATCTAGTTTAGGCAATTATAATCACTCCTTAACTATAAATCTTCTAACACGTTCACTCTTATTGTATCAAATTGAACATAATCTTCTACATTACGTGGAATGTTCTCTAGTTTGTTCTCGTTTTGTGTAAAAAATCAGTTTATGATGCACTACAATCTGATATGTACAAGCCAAGAGACATGTCTTATGATCATCTTATTTCAATTTGTGGAGCTCGAATAGGGTAAAACGGATAAAAATTTGAGAATATTCTACATAATCTAGAAGTGGAAATTCAAATGAAGTCAATGCTAGAACAAATGCAAATGAAATCCGAAAAAGTGAATCGATTGGAAAAGCAATTGCAGGAAACCCGAGAAACAATACAAGAACAAATGCAGATTAAAGACGAAAAAGTGTATCAATGCAAGAGCAATTATAGGAAACCCGAGATATTGTGAACACCTTGCTCGAGCAATTGAGACAACAACAATTACAATCCTCAACGTCGACACGTCCTAATGATAGTGGAGTATAAAAAACGGATGAAGTTAGTGTGCCTTTTGAACTAAAGTTTGTGACAACATACTACATTTATGCTTTCAAGTTTTTATTTACTTTTGGAATTGATGCTTGTGTGCTACCTTGATATTTCATCCGTAATCGTGGTTTTAATATTTCTGATTTAATATTGTTTCGATTTTTTTTAATTGAAAATAATTAAACAAATAAAAGTAATATTGAAAAACAATTGCGACTAATGAAAAATCGTCGCAAAGTAAATATAAAACTAAAACATTTGCGACGAATCATATCTGAGAAATCGTCGCCAAAATGATTCTCGCCATGCAACGAAAATACTATTCAGTCACCAAAATATTCAGAGAACATGCGACGGAAAAGTTTCAAACGTCGCTAAGTTTGGCGATGAAATATATTTTCGTAGCGATTGTTTACGAATTTATTTATATTCATCGCATACAGCGTGCAACAGAATAGTTGCATCCGCCGCGACTAATAAAAAAACTTTTTTTTTCTTCAGAAAATATGGAATTGGCGACGATCTATGTGATTTGTCGCCAAATTTGGCATCGCATGTTTTTTCGTTGTTGGGTTTGTGACGGGGCATTTGGCGACGATTTTAGCTTAATTTTCGACGAAAATTACGAGTCGCAAGACGTACAAAAGTGCCGCGAGAAGACAGTTTTCGTCGCCAGTCTTGCGTTTTGGCCTAGTGATCCCACTAAATTTGACACCGCGAGGGTGGACGTGGGGAGAATTACACTTTTGGTCCCTCATGTTTGGCCCGATTCAACTTTTGATCCCCATTGTTCCAAACTGAACAAAGTTTACCTCCAAGGTTCAATTTTAAACACTTTTGGTCATCGCCGTTACATGTCCGTTTACAAGTAACGGAAAACACTATTTTCGGGCCAAAATTGAAATTTTAAAAATTTTTGGGCTGGAAAATAGTTTGATATTTGAAATATTTATAATTATTCTTTTAATAATATTAAGTATTAATGAAATTTGTTTAGTTAATTTCTTTGTTTATTATTAAAATTTTAATTATAAGTAGTATAATTAAAAATAATATTAAGCATAATTAAAAATAACTTGTTTAGTAGATTTCTTTTTTATTATTAAAATTTAATTATAAGTAGTATAATTATAATAAATTAAGTATAATGAAAAATAATTTGTTTAGTTAATTTCTTTGTTTATTATTAAAAAATTAGTTATAAGTAGTATAATTAAAAATAATTACTTTCATTAAACTTTTTTTATTATTAAAATTTTAATTATAAGTAGTATAATTATAATAATATTAAGTATACTAAAATAAATTAGTTAATTTCTTTTTTATTATTATTAAATATTTAATTATAAGTAGTATATTTTATATATCTAATTATTTTTCAGCCCCAAAAAAATTTAAAATTTCAATTTTGGCCCCAAAGTAGTGTTTTCCATTACTTGCTAACGAGCATGTATCGGCGGGGACCAAACGTGTTTAAAATTGAACTTTGAAGGTGAACTTTGTAATTACCCAAACATAAAAAGTTTTTTTGCAATTTGACATTACCTCAGGGGTTGGCCATAATTCCCTCTAAATTTTAATTGAGGTAAATTTTAATTGAGTTGGGCCATCCTAGTCATATCCTAGCATGCCACCGGCAATAGTAGATGGAGGAGTTAGATGATACACCTAATTATTTACATCGAATGGATTTGAACTATAAATTTAATTAAACAATTACTCATTAACAAACATGATATATAGATGTGTATGTGATTATGTTTAAATATACCGTTCAAATCCACCAAATATAAATAATCAGGTGTAGCATCTAATTTCTCCAACTAGGTGTAGGTGTAGAGTCTACAAGAATGCATTAAGAAATATATAGAAGTATAGAACATGATAGCACTAAAATTATTATCTGATAACAAGATGAGCTATGGTATTTTGTATATATATATATATATATATATATATATATATATATATATATATATATATATATATATATATTTTGAATGAAAAATAAAATTAAGAAGGATTGAGTAGTAGGAATAAATATATATATAACAATATATATGGGAATTAAACTATTGGAGTATATCTCTAATCAATAAATAATAAGAATCTTAAAACAAGGAAATTTAGGGTGCCAAAATAAAAAAATATAAAAAAAGCGCTTAGGGTTTCTTCGAGCTTAAATTTTTCTAACCAAAAAAAAAAAAAAAAAAAAAAAAAAAAAAAAGGGCTTAGGGTTTCTTCGAGCTTATTTTGTTCTCAACAGTTTCTGCTATGGGTAACGCAGAAAGTAGAGACGATTCAAACTCCATGGACAGGATATCCGAATTGCCTAAAGACATATTGCACATAATACTTTATTTCCTGTCCCAGAAAGATGCTGTCCGAACATCTGTATTGTCGAATTCATGGCGTAATATTTGGTGCACTCGTCCCAATCTTGATTTTTCAGACGCCGCATTCAAAGGTAACAAACAAGATTTTCTATCCCTTGTGACCAGGAATTTACAGCGGTATCGCGATCAAAGGATGTGCGTAGAGGAATTTCACCTTCGTATATCGTTACGCGATCATTTGGATCACGAATCATCGGTTATGCTTCTCGAAAGATGGATCCCGTTACTCAAAAATATGGGTCTCAAGAAGTTTTGTCTTTCCCTTCATTCGAAACTTTATTCGACTCGTCTTAGACTGCCCTCCGTAGTCTTTGTAGCCGAATCGCTCCAAGATTTGCGTTTGGAAAATTTCGTGTTGGACCGAAACACTATTGAAAGGATAGTACTTCTCAACAATCTACGATCACTTTGTCTCAGAGAAGATTGGATCGAGGACGAAATTTTTCAGAAGATAATTGATAGCTGCCCTTTGATCGAAACTTTGGATGTCGAAGGATGTTTGAGGTTAAGAACAATTACGTTGAATAATCTTCACCATCTCAAGTATATTTCCTTTTCAGAGATGTATGATTTCACCGGGGAACTTTGCCGAAACGAAATCCATCCCCCATCTCTTGAAACCATCAAAATTAGTTCCGGCAATCTTATGTTCCACAAAGGAGCGGATTTTCGTAATCTAAATGAATTATATATTTTCGATGCGAAACTTTCATGGGACCACTTGTCTTCGTGTAAATTCCCATGTCTCAAACACTTGTGCATCGACAGCTGTGATGGACTCAAAGAAACCCAACTATTTATCGACGCACCAAACATACTCGATTTCAAATACGAAGGAGACTTTGTACCATCCATCTCTTTCGCAACCACATTGAATAAGTGGGATTCAGAAATAAACCTAACACATCTGCATCCGAACGATGCTCCCTCTCCGTGGTTCCTCAAGCTAAATGAACTGCTCAAGTCGTTAATCCAATCTGAAATTGCTCTTTCTATCAACCGGTTTCACATGAATGATATTCACGAAGTAATTCGAGAAAATATTAGTAGTGGTGATAATAAACCTGAGGTAGAGACACTGAGCTTGCATTGTGATAGCTTGATGAAATCGTCGCCTTGTCATTTATCTCATATGCCATCTCTTTTAAACAATGTGTTTTCTATTTGTCGTCCAAGAAACATCAATGACTATTTTCGGATTAGCGACAACGAGGGCATGGAAAGGATCGAGTGTCTGTGGAAGATTCTAGTGGAGGGAGAAAGTGGCCGAGACGAAGATGATCAATTCAGACAGTTGTGGTTCCAAGATTTGGAGGAAGTGAGCTTTGAAATTAAGGAGTGGTATCTCAAAGAAGAATGGCGTCCAATAACTCTGTCGGATTTGTCGAACTATCAAGAAAAGGAATACGGTCGTGTTCGCTTTGCATTAAAATGGAGAGGATTACAGTAAGTGAGAGATCCTTCGAAGAAACCTCGATTTAGAATTATACATAAATCGCTTTTACATTGCATAGTCTTTTTCTTTCCTTTTTCATCTTTAGCACAGTGCCCTTCTCTCTTTTTCTTTTTGTTGGTTACACAAATTTATGGAGGAAACAAATTATCTATTTTATTTAGAAATAATATAGGTGTAACACAAATATTTTAATATTAAGATATTTTCTTCATTTTAAAACTTTCAAGCATAACTTGGATTTCTTCAAAATAAATTGAATACCAAGTTTGAGTTTTGGCATACCTTAGGGGTTATTTGTAGTTTGAATTTTCTATTTCTGTTGCCTTTGTTCTTTTTAGTCAAGGGCATTTCAGTGGTTCAGGATTGATGTAATTCCGATAACAAGAGGGGTTGTTTCGTAATTTCACCTCACCTCATGGGTATGTTCGTAATTTAATGAGAAAAACGATAACCGTGTCGAAAACTAGAAAAACCATTAACACAGAACAATAGAATCACTTTTGTATATCGAAAAAAAAGATATTTCGCTGCAAACTTCCGTCGACAGCTACAACTTCCAACAAAAACATAACCGAAACCCCCACAAAATCGGTAGAAAACCGAAGCAGTGGGAGAAGAAATAGAAAGCAAGAAAGAAAAAAATGAAAGAAATTATTCTTCCGCTTAATACAAATTGGACAAATTCAAACGCGAAAAATTTAACGATAAAATCAAGAACATTGATTGGGCAAGCCTAATAATAATAAGAAAATGCGGAGGGGCTGGAATTTATTGGTACTTCATCTCGGACATTTTGAAGCCAGGCATGTCAAAGGAGGACGAAAACTTTTCGACGTCAGCCTTAAGCTCTTCAATGTCTTTGTTGTTGACAAGTCCTTTGTTGAAGTCCTTTAGTAGTTTACCGTGCTCTTTCTGAATCTTTAGGGTTACGCTCACTGCCCTGTGTAGGAACTCGGCTATCTGCTCAAAGTCTTTCTCGACTAATCCTCGAGATGTCATGGCGGGCGCACCTGCGAATTCCACAACATTTTGTTTTTTTTATCATAAATTACAGACGAGCGACACTCGAAAAATCATATAAATTTCGACTTTTATGTCTAGTAATGCAAATAAAGTTACAGGTAATTGCATCGGGATTCTTACCAATGCGAACACCTCCAGGGGCCAATGCACTGCTGTCACCAAACACAGCATTCTTGTTAACAGTAATGTTGCACAGGTCACATAGTTTCTCAACCTTGTTTCCTGAATTTTTTTTTTTTTTAAAACAACCCATATCAGATAAATATATTAATTGAAGTTACAAGTCAGTAAAAAACTTTTTCTCAAGAACAGAATAAAATTACTAGCTTTTAATTACCAGTCAAGCCGAGAGGGCGAAGATCCCACAGAACCAAATGGTTCTCAGTTCCACCAGTGACAAGCTTGTAATCTTTGCTCATCAGATAATTTCCGAGGGCAACGGCATTGGCCCTGACTTGCTTAGCGTAGGCCTTGAATCCAGGTGTCATCGCCTGCTTCAACGCAACAGCAAGAGCACCGATTTGGTGATTGTGTGGGCCCCCCTGAAGAGAAGGGAACACAGCAAAGTTGATCTTGTCCTCAAAGTCGTAAACGGCATCTTGTGGCTGCCCCTTCTTAGCTGGCTTAGGACCCTTCCTGTAGAAGATCATGCCAGCTCTAGGACCCCTCAGACTCTTGTGAGTTGTGGTTGTGACAATGTCGCAGTACTCAAACGGATCAGCCGCTTCCTAAAATCATTTAACAATGCCGTGGTTTTTCAGATTGGAGCACCAAGCAATTTAATTTTCACATAATCACAATTATTTTAGATTATAGGACTCGATACATAAAGCAAGATTCAAAAACTCCCTTGCTCGATTCGCAGGGCACATGCGTAAAGTGGTTTAATTTGACACGAAATCATATCAATGCCAAGATGTAGGCTCCATAAATGGAATCATCATGCGTGCTTCATATTGATAAAACCAATAGGTAAATAAATGAACCATTCAAAATAATAGATTTAGAAAGTCGAGCTTTTGGCCAAAGGCCAGGCTAATCCAATGTAGACTTATCACGCGATTCGTGTACAATTACGCCATGTGAGTATGACATTAATTTGGATCTAGACAAATTAATTTGGATCTAGACAAATCAGGATCGGCAAGAATTTTCTGAAATACAGGAATCTTTGCAAGACTAAAGCACCATTTACGGATCTTGGATCCGATACAATTACAGTTGCAGGGAATCGAAACACAAACACAAATGCATACTCAAAAGCCCAAACAGAGAATTAATACAACCGGATTCGATGTCCCAAATGAATCCCGCATGCAACAAATCGGAATCAAGATAATCAATAACAATAATCAGATCAAACTCAGATCTACAGTTATATAGCAACAAAGATCAGAATAAGGCCTCATGCAAATAAATCAAGCAAACAAATCAAATAATCAATACAGCATAAGAAAAAGGAATATTCTTTTTTACCTGAGCAGCAACAAGGCCACTGATATGGGCCATATCACAAAGCAAGAGGGCGCCACACTTATCAGCAACCTCCCTAAACCTCTTGTAATCCCAATCTCTAGGGTAAGCACTTCCTCCGCAAATAATCAATTTGGGCCTGAAATCCAACGCCTTCTCCTCCAACTTATCGTAATCGATGTACCCAGTGGTCGAATCAACCTTGTACGGCAAACTCTCGAAGTAAATCGAGGTGGCGCTGATCTTCTTCCCGTTGGATGTGTAGTACCCGTGGGTGAGATGGCCGCCGGACGGCAGATCGAGGCCCATGATGCGGTCGTGCGGGTTGAGCACCGCCGTGTAGGCGGCGAAATTGGCGGGGGAGCCGCTGTAGGGCTGGACGTTGACGCCCCACTTGGTAGGGTCGCATCGGTAGGCCTGGAGGGCGCGTGAGCGCGTGAGGTTCTCGATCTCGTCGATGAACTCGTTTCCTCCGTAGTAGCGGGCGCCCGGCATGCCCTCGGAGTACTTGTTGGTGAGTGCGCTGCCGAGGGCCTCGATCACGGCGAAGGAGGTGAAGTTCTCGGAGGCGATGAGCTCGATCCCGCGGCATTGGCGGCGCTTCTCCTTCTCGATCAGGTCGTGGATGTCTGGGTCGACGACGGAGAGAGGGGTGTTGCCCCAATCGTTAACTGGATCCATTTCTCCGGTGGAGAGTGTGTGTGTGTGTGAATGTGTGAGAGAGAAAGGAGTGACTGTGTGTGTAGAGAGAGAAAGAAGGAGCTGAGAGGACGAAGTGAAAGTGGGAGGTTGGGGTTTCATTTAAGGAGGATATTTGGTGGGGCTGAATGACCATTTTACCCTTGAGGTTGTTGGGATAATTTCTCTCTCTTAATTTTTTTTTTATTAGAACATCATGTTTCACTTTTGTTAATTCTGAGATTTATTTTGGCCAAATCCTATTAGTGGTCCCTTATCTTCACATTTAGTCTCACTTTAGTCCCTCGTGTCTTAATTATCTCATTTTCATCCCTCATTTCTATAATCCATCTCATTTATCATCTCTTTGTGTATATACATGTTATATAATTTAAAAATAATTTTTGCAACTAATAAAAATATAACTTATAAATATATAACTTAAAAAACTACTATTTTTGTGAATATATGACTTGTATTTAGAGATATATTTAAATAATTATAATATGCCATCTACATATATTCTCTAAAATATTATTTATATTTTTTTTGATCTTATGTTAATATTTAAAGAACTAATTAAATTATATATTTTTATTCTAGTATTTATTAATTTATTTATATTTTATTACAAATAATTATAAGAATAGAATATTTCATTCAGTAAATAAAAAATTTCGTTAAAGTTAACTACATTATACACGAAGGACTATATTGAGATAGATTATAAAGTTGGGGATAATAATGAGACAATTGAGACATGAGGAACTAAAATGAGACTAAACACTAAGATGAGGGACTATTAGAGAAATTTGGTAATTTATTTTTCATTTGTTTTTAAGTAAAAGCCAAGTTATAAATTGAGGGATAGTCGTGATGACAAGGTGGTTTCTTCTAAAATATTATGATAATGTATTTCCAATTTATTCTTGTCAGGTTATATTTTCTGAAAATGAAATTATTTTGTTTTGTTTATATTAATACTTGTTTTTGAACCAAAAACTATCCACATAGTCGATTGCGATCATGATTTGTTGGTAAAAATTAATTTTTTTTTTCTTTTTTTTTCACATTCGGGTACATAGAATTATGGTTGGGTATGGATCGGTTTTATCGGCTAATCGATCTACTTTCGACCCGCTTCTTTTGATCGATAATTTTATTATCGGGCCGGTAATTTTAACCGACCCATATAAAAGTGGGTGGTTTTCAGTTTACACAAAAGTTGGTTGGTCGGGTAATATCGGTCAACCAACTTTTTTAATATTTTTTTATTATAAATATTTAATTGTTAAAAAAAATTCACTATTAAAATAATATATAAAAGAAGTAAAAACTCAAATCACAAATTTATAAACCTCTCCATATTATCTCTATTTTATAATTCTTATTTCACATTCTTCATTATATATTTACTTATTGTAGAAGTTTAATGAGTAAAAAAAACTCTTAATTTTAAACTTAAGATTTTTACTAATATAGGTTTTCCCAAAATATTGAATATTTTTTGAATTTTTTTTAAAACAATCTTAGTATTGTAAAAAAAATAAA